GATGGTGTGTTTCCTTCTTTATGGAGGCATCGATGTGAAGAATGTGCTTGAGAAGTGAGAAGGAACCACTTGAACAGCAGCAGCAAAGTCTCTAGCCGCACGCTCAGGAATAAGCATGAGCTACCTGCTTAGGGTGACCAGATGGACCACTAATAAAACACAGAACATGACCTCAAAAGTCCTATGTTCTCTTACGCAGAAGCATTTTGTTTCATCACAGATACTTTCAGCAAAACCAAGTTTTCGAATATCAAGCATTACAAAAACTGAAGAGCAATTATTTTCTAAATTTCAAATCCCTCCACATACAACAAAGCACTATCTGCTGACTGGGCCTGTCCAGATGCTAAGCTTAGCTAACAGGCCTTGCTCTTGGTATCATCTTGGGATATTCAGTGAATGAATAGCAGGGACAGGGCATATGTTCCAATAATGCCATTAATCTAAAACACTCTTCTAAGTGAGCTCCCTCACTGTTTTTCGGCCAAAAATCAAAGACACACTTATTTCAGCAAGCTTTTAACATGCAAAATCTAGAGAATGGTATATACTAATCCGTAATTCTTTTTCCTCTTTCTTTCCCTGTGGAAAACAAGGCATTAACTACATCCCATTTCCTGTTATTTCCTGGAGATGAAAGCATCAGTCCATTTCTGGAGCACTAACTCAGCATCAACATTATTTATTAAGCCTGTATTACACTGTTTTTACAATAATGTGAAAATAGTTAAAGAATCAGTATCTCCTCACAGACCAATAGATTTCAGATGACAAACAGCACATTATAGTCTAGAATTTTTCTGTTTTCAGCTGAATGCAATACATTTCTATCAGTATTCGGCAGGGCACCCAGGTGCTCTGAGAAGTCACTGTTTACAAAACTAAGACAATAAATTAGAAGAACATATACACCATCCAAGCTCTGTAATACTGCAAAACACCCCTCTTTGCCCAAAGAAGCTCAGCAAGAAGATCCAGTGTTGGGGAAATGGGAGTCTTTCTACAGTGAACCATCTGTTGTCACACATGGAAACACTTTTCTAAAAAGTATACCAAGGTTGCAAGTATCATTTATTTATTTACACCAAATGTAGTTGGGGTGAAGGGACATTGTATTTTGCATAACTTTTATTAAAGCAAGTTCTCCCATGACTTCTCACTCCCTTACAAATGTATCGGAGCAAATGTTAGGCTAGTGAAGCTGTTATGCAGTGTGTCTTCTCCTAATTTGTAAGAATATAAACATAACTCAGGCCCAAAGACCTCCAGAATGTATACAGAATGACCGAAGTCACACACTGACCATTTAATTTCACAAAATCTGTTATGTGAGCTGGAAGTCTTTTGCTCCTAGACTGGAGTCAGTGGGTATAAATCCAGAAGTTACAGATGATTAAATCTCTTGCAAATAATGGTATTTGTGTACAGCTAAACTCTGAACTGCACCCAGCATATAACCATATGACATCATGAACAGAAGGGATTGCTTCCACAAACTGCTTGCCCAAGCAAGCAGCAACTTGCATGGGTAGTATAACATTGGAATTGTGAGTTTACACAAGGGTACTACTTTTCTTTAAAGTGCCCAGGAAATTACAGCTGATCCCCCAAGTGGATTGTCTCATTCTAGTCAGCGGGGGCAGGTTATTTAAAATCTTCTCTATTGACTCTAAATTTTTTTTGATTTATTTATAAAAATGGTGTAAAGCTGCCCCTTAGCAACATGTTCTCTCATGCATTGGAAACTGTCAGACTATCATGAGATGGACCATAAATCATTTTCAGGAACTAAAATTTCAGAAAGTTCTGTGGAATATTCTGCAGGAAGTAACGCATGCCTGAATTAAGAGACTTTCCACAGGCCCAAATGTCACTCTGTGGAGTACCCAAAAAACCCTGCCCCTTTAGGTGGTTCCAACTCTGTGCAGTTTTCTCATTCCCAAAAACAGGAATTGCCTCTCCTAAGGATTAGTTGCTGACAGAAAAAGTTTTAAACAAAATCATGTTGGTAATTCTGACTTGTCCCCTTTTGTCTTTGGTTTCTCCCACCACTGGAGAAAATGGTATTCAGTCGTCAGGATGAAAGAGGGTTGAGAGCCAGTGTAATCCCCAGAGATGTGGGTTCTAGTCCCCACTCTGGCATGAAATTCCCTGGATGATTCTGGGCCAATCACAGACTCTCAGCCTAACCTTCCTCACTGCATTCTTGTTGCAAAGATCAAATGGAAAACCCTGTAAGCCACCTTGGGTAGGTGGGACATAAATATAATGCAATAAATGAAATGTAATAATATCTGTTTTGAAGGAAGATGATAGGGAATCAGAACTCCACCAGAGAGCATGGACTTGATGAGGGCTTTGTGCATGCACTGAATCTTTTCATTTCTTGTGGGGTTACCTCCCAAGCCACTTAACAGGGATAGGTAACCATATATATGGGACTATGCACCCATAATCCCATGTTGCCTAGCCTGCTCATCCTGCCACTGTAACATACCATTATTTAAGCTGAAGGAAGTTTTAAACATACAGTGGCTTGCATATGTATTTCTGTCCTGCCCTGACTTTTCCACATGCTACAACCTAGCCTCGGTAGTTTGCATGTGAATACTTTTACAATCAACCAGCACTAGCTCATTTTTACTTAATTTTTGTGCCACAGTAACACATTTTGCACCTTCATACTGTTGAGTAGCTTGCATCTATGAAGTAGCCACAGTGCCAATTCAACCCATTTTAATTCCAAATTATAACACAAAAATGTGGAAAAGTCAAGGCGGGGGGACGAAAGCTTCTGCAAGGCATTGTAGGTTATGATATGGTTTGATGGTCTGCTCTTAAAGCAATCCCACCGAGCACATGCAGGCCTTTGCACCTGCCTAAAGTAGCTCCAGGCCTTTGCTACCATGTGCACTGGCAGAATAGGCACTCTAATACAGCTGAAAGTTGCTTTATGCAGAACTATCACAGAATGCTTCCATTATCATTTTAATTTACAGGGCAACAAGATGAGCACAAAAACTCGAGGCCTTGTTGAGCTAGTTCAGTTTCTACATACGTTCACACACCCACACTGTTCAGATGAAAATGGGGACAAGATGCACATGAACCATCCTCATCCCCATCCCCACCACACGTTGCTGAAGGGTCTGTTTGTGCGCTATTCCTTTGCTCTCACAGCCTGTTTAGCATTGTGTGTTCATAAACTGACCATAACAATACAGGAACAGAAAGACACATCATGCATTATTTTTTATTACGTGTGTATCTCGTCCTATAACCCATGGGCCTCTCTGGATGGTTTACAGATGGAAAGCGTATCACAATAACAAAAGCAGTAGAACAATACAATATTTTAAACCAAATACAACAATTTGACAACTCCAGGTGATTAAATTTATACACGGCATTAAACAATTCACATAAAAACAATATTAAAATCAATCTATTGAAACTTCTGGTAAAAAAAAAAAACGGTCTTCACCTGGTGTCAGAAGGAAAACAGCAACTGCTCCAGACATTCCTCCTTGGGGAGCATTTTCCAGAGATGGCATGCAACCACACAGAAGGCCCTTCTCCTGTCATCCCTGTTACTTCCTTAGGGGGTGGTTCTCAGAGAAGGACCTCCACATAAGATCTTAAGGTCTGGATAGGAACATATGGAGACAGGCATTCCTTCAGATACCCTGGCCTCAACCCATTTAGGGCTTTATAAGTTAATGTCAGCACTTTGAATGAGGCAGCCCACATAGCTGATACTGCTGTGGTATGGTATGAACTTAATTGACTTAAGTTGATGCAGCCTGATCCTATGCATACACTTCAAGAGTTAAAGAGACTGTAGCAATCAGGCAACCTCTATCACACTTACATACAGATGCTGTTAACTATGTTCATTTCCTGCTTATTAACTTCCTTTAAGCACTCGGCTCTTCACTGCACATACAGGATGCTACACTAGTATTGATCTGATCTCATGTTCTTATTATTCAGCCCTGGCTGAAACATTCAGGTCCTTTGGCTCCTTCTTCCTTTATATGTAGAAGAGGAAAGCCACAATTTTTTGGCAAAATTATTCTAGTGTACTAATAATAAACTCAGCAGTTTTCATGAATTAAAAAAAAAAGATGCACCAGCCTTCCCCAACCCCATGACCATTGGCCATGCTGACTGAGGATGATGGGAATCACAGGCCAAAAATATCTGAAAGGTCATCTAACATTGCCCTGCATATGCCTATCCTTCTGGTCCCTTCTCTAGATTTTTTCCGAGGGGAAAAAAAATTAACTAAAAGGGGTTAGAGGGTTACTTTTGTCCACTCCAACCTGGCACCCTATCTAGCTAGGTGCATTGCTATTCACCTCCCATTGCTTCCACACAACAGGATGGGTAACGCTGCTGGTTCTTTGGACTCCCATTTTCTGGACCATTATCCAGTTGTGTGGGTTCGGTTCCACCAGGCAAGGCCAATAATAGAAACCAGATATGAATGAAGCAAGCCAAAGCTGCATCTGTTGAACTTCCCTTTGTAAAACCATCTGGGTGGATAGAAAGTAGATCACCAGATGTTTTGCGCTTCAACCCCATGCTGCCAGGGGTTTCTGGGGGCTAATGCACCAAACATCTGGTGATCCACGTTCTTTCCATCCTGGTTTAAAACACAGAATCAGCCAACGCAAATGGGTAAGTCCAGTGTCGCTCCAGATGCGCAAGGCTACCGGTGTGTCGCTTTCCCTTTCTCCTACCACCGCCATAGGGGACATCCAGTTTTACCATGCGAGGGTGCCACCAGTCCTCCCGCCTCGGGGACGGCGCGGGGAAAAGCAGAGGCAACAGCGGCAGGGCCACGTGCGCGGCGCAAGTGCTCCGCCGAGCCCGGTGACCTCAAACAATGAGCGCGTCTGTGCGCTTGCGCTGTCGACAGCGTGGTGTCCCGAGGCGCAGGCGCGATAGGGGCGACTCCACTCTTCCCCTGCTCCACCTCCTTTCTCCTTCTCTCAGCAGGCGGAAGTGCCGCCCGACCTGAAGGGCGGGAGGAGGGGGTCGTTAGCGGCGCTTGTTCCGGTCGCGAGGGGTTTCCTGGTCGCAGCAGGCAGCGCTAGTGAGTAGCGTGGTGAACGAGCGCATGAAGTAGGTTGCCATGAGCCCCCCCCTCCCCGCTTAGGCCCGCTGTAAAATACCGGCTCCTTCCCCCTCTCCTTTCTCCCCCCTCCAGCCCCAGCGTGCTTAACGCACTGCCCTTCTCCCCTTTGGCGGCTATGCAGGCAGAATTTCATTTTCTCTTGTTCCTGAACAAGAAGGTGTAAATCTAGAAAGGCAATGCGAAGCACTAAAGTTTGGGTGCCCTTGGTACTTCCATTGTATTAGATGGTTCTTTTGGGGTGGGCTGGATAGGAGCGCTTTGTCCATGCTCCAAGGCACTGTGTCCACACATTTTTTTCTCTGTTGAAACGTGTTTCCTGTGAGAAGGTTAAAGCGTTGATTACAAGTACTAAAGATCAAAAATAGTAATATTAGAAGCATTAATTGATTATAGTGTGTGTGTGTGTATTCGTATGTGTTATTTAATTAAAGCAGTTCTACTTTGGTCTTCAGATGAAAAGGCACCCTGAGCTGACTACAGGTTAATAACAATAATCAGTCTCTCCTCACAGGTGAACAAGATAAACAGACATGACATGACCTGACATCAGTGGCAAAAAGGATGGGGAAAGAAAAACAGGAAAAAATGGGCACTGGTTCTTAAGGTTATGAGGTTCTTGCAGTGAACAGATGTAATGTAGCTGGACATTTTGGGTTTCTCATCATAACCAGCTGGAATGACAACCATTCAAAACTTGTCAGCAGTGGTGCTTTTACGTCCATTCAAGGGCAGTACCTGAGGGCTAGGATTTTTGAGAACAAACAATGGCAAAGTTACTTTAATGCCAAGGTGGTAAGACTGCCTCTTAAAGCACAGAGGTTTGCATGCAATTTGGCAGTCTCGAACTGTGCCAGGAGGGCCCTGCATAAAAAGTTAAATACAGTCCAGGAGTACTGTGACACCTTGAATTTTAAATACACATTTATTGTTGCATATATTTTCTACAAGCAAAATCTTGTATTAGATGTATGAACTGTGTAAATGTTGAATACATTTTATATACCTACCACACATTATAGTGTTTAACATTCAAATAGCATATGTCAAATGTTAAGAGCACTTTATATACAGTCTCTTAGTAATCTTTTTGGCAATTCTGCAGATTAGGCCAGTATTATCCCCGCATTGTAGTTAGGAAAAGGGACTCCTGGGAATGAGAGAGAGTAGCTCGCTTACTAGAAACGAGAGTTGAACAGTTCCCACCTCATATTGCTATGTATATGATATGATGTCTAAGTGCTTTACTATCCAATTCATACATATTATAAAGTAGAGTGCCGCTTGTGGAAATGAATTCAATAATACATGCATTAGTCAAAGGCATAATCCAGTCCAGACACCTGTAGCCCTTGGAACTGGGAGGATTACAGTCATCCTATGCAGAGTTGGAGTGTGGAGGCAAAGGTCATCTCCATGCTCTCCTGCCCTGCAAAATAGTGAGCATCTAAATGTTGAGTCTTAGAGCTTTGGGGAAAGAGGCTTATGTGCTGCCAAGATTCTTTGTATTTTGCAGCATGTGTCTCCTTGCCTTCTTACTATGAGACATTCAGGAACCCTGTTTCTAAGGTTGCTCTTGCATCCTTGGAGATGGAACTGGTGTGGTTCTTTCCACACTGACTGCAAGGAGGGTAACATTGCTCTTGACTAGCAAACACATGATTTAGGTGTAAATTTTGGTTGCTTTTGCTACAACAGAATAAAAGGGTGTTTCCCCTGGAATTTATCTTCGTTTTGGAATACAGTCTTTACTCATCTGTCAGGTGAGTAATGCAGATGTTCCTGAAAATTTTGAACTGGATATTTTTCCAAAAAAAAATCAAGTGCAAATTAGGTGAATTTGCATAGGAAAATATTCAGTCTGTGTTTGAAAATGTTCAGATGCTCTAGTGATATCTAATTTAGCATGCTTATTTAGTATGTTCCATTTAGTAAACAATGCTAAAAAAGTATCCCATGTTAACCATTTGTCCCAGCACAGAAGTATTTGCTTTGAAATATTTAAGAAATGTAGATTTTTTTTCTTGCAACAATTGTAAAAAAGGTAAAGCTTCATGAGATGGCCCTGGGGTTCTCTCCACACCAGGCATAATCTTGTACAACTCAATCATGTCTCTCCTTACTTTTTTTCCTAAGCTAAACAATCCCAGTTATTATGACCATTCTTCACAAGAGAATTGCTCAAACCCCTTCACTATTTTAGTTGCCCTTCTCTGCACTTTTCCCAATTCAGTAATGTCCTTTTTCACGTGGAGGACCAGAACTTTACTCAATAGTTTAAGTGTAAGCACACTAAAGATTTGTTTAGGGAAAGTATAATCTTGGCAATTTTGTTTTTGATCCCTTTCCTAATTAAGCTTAAGCTGGAGTTGTCTTTTTTTCACCACAACTGTACAGTGGATCAACATTTTAATTGAGCTGCCCTCCACCACCCAAAGATCAGGTTTTTTGGTCAGTTACTCCTAGATCAGATTCCATAAGGTTATATTTAAGGTAGAGAGTTTTTGCTTGGGATTTTTATGTTACACTTGCTTACATTGAACTGCATTTCCTATTTTGATGTCCATTCTCCCAACTTGGAGAGATCCCATTGGAGCACCTCACAATCCCTTTTTGTTTTAACTGCCCTAAAGTATTTGGTGTCAACAATAAACGTGGCCACTTCACTTGCTCACTCCTCTTTCCAGATCATTTATGAACAGATTGAAAAGCATTGGTCATAATACAGAATGCTGTGGGACACCAGTGTTTACATCTCTCCATTGGGAGAAATTACCATTTATTCACTCTCTCAGCTTTCTGTTGCTTAGCCAGTTACGGATCCTTAAGAGGACTCCCCCCCCCCCCACACACACACACATATGCATGACTGCTGTGTTTGCATAAGGAGTCTTTAGTCTTTGACTTTGTCAAAAGTCCAAGTATACAATGCACTGGATCGTTCATGTCCACTCTCAAAGAACTCCAATAGATTAGTGAGACAAGGACTTACCTTTGTGCAATCCATGTTGATTCCTTTTCAGCTGGGATTATCCCTGTATGTACTTGTTGATTCTATCTTTAATAACACTAGCAATCATTTTATCCAGAACAGGCATTATGCTAACTGTCCTGTAATTTCCCAGATTTCCCTGGATTCATTTTTAAAAAATGGTGTTAAGCTAGTCATTCTTTAGTCCTGTGGTATAGAGGCTGATCTTAGGAATGTATTACATAGTTTTGTAAGAAGGCCAACAATTTCATATTTGAGCTCTTTAGGAACTCTGGGATGGATAGCATCTGGGCCAGGTGACTTATTAACATTCAGGTTGTCAATAAGGTGAATTTCAACTTACTGAGAAGTTTTGTTACTGCTATTTTTCTTAATTCCTTCTTGAATGCATCAGTTCAGGAACAGTGATCTGTTCTGTATCCTCAGCTGTGAAGACAGATGAAAAGAATTCATGCAGCTCCTCCGCAATCTCCTTATCCTTTTTTGGTGCTCCTTTTATTCCACTTTCATATAATAGCCCAACTGCCTCTCTGACTTGATTCCTTTCTTCTGATAAATTTGAAGAATTCTTTATTGTTGGCCTTGATGTTAGCAATGTAGTTCTCAATATGTTTCTTTGCTTCTTTTATTATTGGTTTGCATCTCCCTTGTGCAAGTTCATGCTCTGTTTTGTTTTCCTGATTTGGACAAGATTTCCATTTCTTGAAGGAAGTTGTCTTCTCTTTAATAGCTTTCTTGACCGTACTTGATAACCGTGTTGGTGACCTACTGGACTTGATGTCATGTTTTTAAACTTGTGGTATTCATAGCATTTGTGCCTCAGTTATTGTGGTTTTGCATACTCTCCAAGCATTTTCAAGGGATTTAACTCTTGTTCCCTTCTTCAGCATCTTTTTTTCAACCTATTCCCTCATTTTAGACAAGTTTCTGCTTTTTAACATGCCTCTTGAGACCTCTTTAGCAAACATGCTCCTAATAGTATATTAAATTTAATAGTGCAGATGTCACTGTTCCCATCTTGCTTATCAACATTAACATCCTGTACTATGGGCGGCCCTACCTATGTTTAAATCCAGGGTTCCCTCCTCTCTGGTAGGTTCCATGATCAACTGTTCTAAGGGAGCAGTCATTTAGGATATCAAGAAATTTAACTTCTCTTAGAATTGGAACATACATTTATCCTGTCATTGTGTGAGTAGTTGAAGTATTCCATTATTGCAGCAATCCCTTTGTTTGAGGTCTCCCTGATTTCATTGTTCATCTCAAGAGCACCCTGAGCATTCTGGTTTGGTGGATGATAGAACATTTGTTTGAATAAAAGGATTTTGGAGCCAAATATTGTCACCCACAATGCTTCTGTTGAGGAGTCTGTGCATTTTAAATGATCTGCTGGAATTTATGGGCCTTCTTTGACATACACAGGAATACCTCCTCTAGTACACACTTCCTATATAGTTTATATGCAGAGATGACTGTATCCCATTGGTTCTCTTCATTCTACCAGGTTTCTGTATTGCTTACTATATATAGCTTCTCCTTTAAAACCAGACATTCCAGCTGCCCTGTTTTGGCCCTGAAGCATCCAGCATATGCATAGAAACACCTAAGCACAGCATCCGCCTTCCACAGCATATGCAACTTAGGTTTTGGCATTTAGACCTCTCCAACTGATTATCATGACCTGCTATAAGCTTATGGCTTATTTTCTCCTCTCCTACATTTGGGCAATCAGAAACTTTTTCCTATTCATTCCCTAGGGATGGTTTAACCTGAACCAGATGCTTCTGAGCTCCTGCTGGCTTTCCTCCATGGTTCATTTAAAAAGTTGCACTACCAGCTTTTTAAAGTTATGTTCCAGCATTCTGCTTCCATTATGGAGCAACTGGAGTCTGTCCCTCTTGTATAGGCCCAGCTTGTCCCAGAATGTAGCTCAGTACCTAACAAATCTGAACCCTCTTCTCTACATTACTATCTTATCTATATATTGGGATGCCTCAG